CAATTCAAATTTATTTTAAAAAAGCATTCTACAAAAATTTCATTATTTTTCAATTTCCATCTCTATCCGATCATTTAAGAATTCATTTTTCATTATTCAAATACCAAAGGCCAAATTATACCATCATTAATTTGTTTAAATCACAAAAACAGTTTCTTTAGCTTAACAGTAAAAGAGAACGACCAAAGAATTCTTCAGCAAGATGTTTGTAAAAGGAAAACAAGGATCATCATATTACGTTATCTGTGAACAAATTTTGTTTAAGAAAACTTCAAAACAACTATATTAGATTATTTCATGCTAAAATGAATGCATCTTATGAAATAACAACTAATTCATTATTTTAATACCTATTTATTCTTTTTTAAATTAATATTGTTTAATGAATAAAATAAATAAAAAAAACTCTATATTTTTTTATTGTTAATTGATATAAAAAATAAATTTTACCTCAATATGATTGAATATACTGATAATAAAAAAACAAAGATAGATTTTGTTCCAATTTATATAGAAAAACCTTTCATTAACTATCTCTCTCTATAATTCTACTAATTAGGAAGTATAGTCTTAAATTATATTATATTCAGAAAACTGTATATTGATAATTTAGATACATAAACGAATATCTAAATTCTAATTAATATTTATTGAAATATTTAATTTTGCATTATTTTTATAATAACAAAAGTTTTGTGATTAATTGTTTATATTTAATTTTCATCAGTTCAAATCATCTTTAAAATCTTTTTGTTAAATATTGAAAATAATTTTTATTGTATTATTTAAAATATACTTCAATATGATAATGATCTCAATTGAAAATATAAAACCTTTTGTATATTTAAATTTTTGTCTTAATTATACTAAAGTATATATGATTAAATCAAAATTATATATGAACTATTTTTATTTCAAAAGCATTTATGAAATTAAAATAATAATAAGAATCAATTTCAAATAGATAAATTTTAAATATATCAATTTTAATCTAAATATTTGTTTAAGACCTTAATCATGGAAAAAAAAATTAATATATTTTTGTTCAATTATTACTATACTTTTCTTTTGTTATATATTAAAAAATTAACTAATTAATTAAATCTTCTATTAATTTTTGTTTATTTTATTTTGATTTCCAAAGGATCTGGAGTTACTTTTCAAAATATTCTCTCGAAATTGAAATAGATAAGTAAAAGCACTGATTTTTTCATTTATTTTAAAACTCCAAGTTATTGCCTTTTTGCATAGTATTTCTAAGAACTAATTAAATTTAGATTTTTGGACTATAAAAAATATTATAGCATTTAGTTCTTGTAAAATTCCATCCATAAAAAAGTCGAAACCTCGATAAAATTGGTGATTATTAAGGACCCATTATATACAATTCTAATTGATATTGCATTGAGATATTCAACTTAAAATTTATCTAAAATTTGATTATGTGAATATACTTTTAAACTTCTACATTTTTCCGTATATCTTAAATGGACTTGATCGTGTGGCAATCTTATTTCTAGTTTATATTCTTCTGTTATTGGAATTCTTAATGATTGTTATTCGAACTAAGAAATAAAAATTATGGTTTATCTGCATAACTCTCTTGAACAAATGAATGAAGTAATTTTTTAAAGTTTTCTCGATTGATGACTCAAAGACAGTTTTTTTTGATTAGTTGATTTCATTTAATCATTTAATATTCAACTTAATTGATTTTTTTCCTACAATATTTTATTTGGAAATTAAGATTAATTTCTTGAACTTTTTCTAATATCCTTTATATGATAAATTTAATCATTAAGTATCTATCAGTCATTATAAAGATAAATTAATAATAATATTTATGTTATACAATTAAAGAAATATATAAATAAATTAATAATCTTTTGGAAATAATAAATTGAAATACTTGAAAAAACTAATAAAATAAATTATATGGTTATTAACAACACAAAAATTATGAGATTAAATTCTGTTAGACCCTCAAAATATTCTTTATTACAAGAGATGTGTATTTTTCGATACAATCATTGATATTGGCTCTTCAATTTTAGAATACCTATCCAATTTTTAATTAATATTTTTGAATTTAAATGGTTAGTTAATACAATATTATCCAAATAAAGAATCGATTATAAAAATAACATTTTATGGTTTTATCATCTCCTGAATTTATATAAATTCTTAAAGTTTATCATTTTCTTTTCTGTGTCTTCCTTCTATGTCTCTAAGTATTTTTAAAGTTCCTCTTTTTTTAAAATCTCCACTCCATTATCTGCAAACTTCAATTTAGATTTATTAAAATTTTTTGAAGATTTATTACTTGATACTAATTTCATGTAATGAATTCAAAGAAAACATGTAGAGTGATTCTATAGATGCAATAATAAATCTAATTTATAGATAATTTTAAATAGAATAATAATATTCTTGATTTATCTATTGATAAATCAAGAATATTTAAAAATAATAATAATAAAAATAAAAAATGCAGATTAGATGTAATTAAGTTGATCATCGAAATCAATAAATAATAGGATGTTGCATAGATAATTCATGCCCAAATTAAAAGCCTTATTGTAATTTTTGCTTGCCTCTCCATGCTCAACATCTTGAAAAGTTAATTTCTTTAGAACTTTTGCATGAGTGGATTTAGCGACGAATCCATAGTGCTCTAATTGTTTAAAAGAATGTTTCAGAGTGTAAATTATCCCTTGATCGCCTTCTTAATTTTTTAATTCCTTATGTTAACTTTAATATATAGTAATACTCAGAAATTGGGCTTACCTCGCTTAATAAAATGATAATAGATTTCTGTTAAGTGGAAAGTTATGAAGAACTATTATTTAAACATCTTAAATAATCTATATAATAAATCATATTTATTATAGATTAGATATAAAAGAACATAAAGAAAGTACATATTGAGAAGGAAATTTGTAATTAATAACTACAAATATCTGAAAGAAAATCCTTAATATCATTAGAATTAAAGCAAATAGGTAACTTTAAATCTGATTCAAACCAATTCACCTTTGAACTCATGATAAAAAACTCAATTAAATAAGTTGATGTATGTTATGCTGTTGCTTTTAATAAAGATTAATCACTAGTGTTAGCTGGATGTGGCAAGGACATTAAAGTATTTTAAAATCTATAAGGGAATTTAAATCAAATTTAAATGTTAAGAGAACATAGAAATGATGTGAATACTTTAAATTTTATGAAAGATAATAATAATATTCTATCTGGAAGTTCAGATAATACTATCATAATATGGTAGGAAATTGGGCATAATTAATGGTTATTTTAATAAAAATTAAATGGACACTCTAATAGCATATTATCCTTATTGTTAAATAATAATGAAGATTTAATACTATCAGCGAGTGTAGATAAAACAATCAAGTTTTGGGTAAAATAGAATTAATGGTTGTGTTAATAAACCATAACTGAGCACACTGATAGTGTATATTCCTTAAGTTTAAATGAACAATAAAATAAATTGATATCTTGTTCAAAGGATTCATAAATATTAGTGATAGAATAGTCAAAGTTAGATAAATAATGGATTGTTATATAAAAAATAAAAGTTGATTAATATGGATATCGTTTATGTATTATTAATGATAACTAATTTACATTCTAACCAAGATGTAAAGAATAAATGCACTTATTTGAATTAGATAATAATAATAAATAATATAGGAAGACCAAGGAATTTACTGTAAGATGTGGTTCATATAATTGTGATATTTTATTTCCATTCTAATACTTAAAGTCAAAATGCCTACTGGCTAATAAGAATGGCAAAAATGTGAATTTAATGAGAAGGATAGAAAATGGGAACTTTATAATTTAATAATCTATTGAATTTGGTAGTGAAGTTATTTATGGATAATTAAGTGAAAATGGAGAGTATTTGATCACTTGGGACTTTTAGACAAAGGAAATCTAAGTGAGAAAGTACAAAAAATTATGAGCATTACATTATAAATTTATGAAATATATTATGATATTTAAAACTTATTTAACAACGAAATCTTTATTTATTTTATAATTTTAGGAATTATTTGCGGATTTACAAAAATTCATTAAAAGATTTGACTGAGTGATCAACAGAATATTGGATTTAGTTGATAATGATTTAAATAATATTTAATAATTTATGGAATTAATCAAATTAAATGTAGTTTTACTAAATTTTTATTGAAAAATAATCTCAAAGCTTATTACAAGTTTTGTGAATTTTTAAATTTATATTAATTTAAATTAAATTAAAACTCATTTCTAATTAGTGATATACTTGGAATATTGCCTTATATAATCTAATATTTTTCTATTTTTCGTATTTTTAACTAAATTTTTTTTTGGTTTATGAAACTTCAAATATATTCATTTTATAAACAAATATCTGTACCAATTAATCAAATAATCGTTATTCAATGGATATCTATTTGTAATCAAAAATAATGAACTGTTTTTAAGTATTTGACTTACATGTTGTGAGTTGATATCATTAAAAATATAAATTCATTTTTTTAAATGATTTAAACTTTAATATTATAATAATAATTAAAAAGTATAATCTTCATATTAAATATATTAATTTTTATTTTTTCATCAGATTCTGATCTGTATTGTAATAGCTTTTATATATATTTTAATTATAAATAAATTAAATCTATTTGTATGTGTTTTTGGTAATTTTCAAAAATCATAAAATAACTCCTTTTTATTTAAATAACTTATTTAGATTTACATTTTGTTGCTGGATTCAAACCAGTTTTTATAATGAAAGCTTAAGATTTGCCTTAATTTCAATAAAGATTATATATATTATTTAAGTTTTATCTTGGAATTCTCAATTTTTTGATAACAATTAGAAAAAGTTATGTTTTTAAGATAATGTTTGTTTAAAAATAATTCTTTAACAGTGATAGAAAAAAGATCAAAGAAATTGATTATTGATCATCTATGATCTTGATTAATTATGATTAATTTACCGATATCTACTTCAGCTTCTTCGCCATTGTAAAGGAAAGTGAAAATTTCTTGAAGTATGATAATTAAAATCTATTTAAAGTTTTAATCGAAAAAAATGGAATATTAATTGAAATATCCATTAGCCTTATCAATTCTTAATAATTTCATTTCAAGATTGATGAGAATTGTTCATTTTTATCGGAATCTAGTTTTTCCTATAAATTAATATTTTTTTTAAATAATTCTTATCAGTCTTATCTTAATTAAATTGATTTGAATTTTGTATTACTTTTAATAATTTAATACAATTTATCTCAATATTTTCTTTCCTATTAGCAGGAAAAGCAGCCCTAGTTTTTAATCTTTGTTACCTTAATTTGGATTAAAAACTAGGTTTAAAATATTTCTATAATCATTTTAATAGTTTGAATAAGATTTGATAAAAGTTTTATTTAGCCCTATGAGACATGCTTTTTGCACTTTAAACAATTAATTAAATTAGTGGGTATAATTTAATGTAAAATTATATTATCTTAAAGATGTATTATGCCTTGCAGATCAAATGAAAATAGTAGATTCATGATAATAAACAGAATGTATTTTATAAATTCTATAGTTGTAGCCCTTTTACTTTCCAATTTTTTAGTCTCAGTCTTTATAAAGATATCTTTCATAAGTATTCAAGAATACATACAAGTTAAGAACTTATCAAAAAATAAAATTAAACGATTGTTAATCTAAAATGTAAGATTATATGTGTTGATAGTAGTGACCTATCAAATTTTGCCTGTAGATAATTATCAAAATATTAACAACAAATATTCATCTCAAACAATATTCAATAGTGAAATACATAGGTTTTATTTGAATTAAAAATTAGAAAGGCTTAAAATTAATTGAAGCAAATGTGTAAAATCTGTGGTTATTTTTAAATTGATGATTTTTTTCAAAATCGATTATGATAATGTCACCTACTTGTACCTTCAAAAATTATCATTATTGGTTTTCTTATAAATTTCAATTTTTGATAACTAAATTGTTACCACTTCCATTTATAATACTAAGATGATATTTATTTATGTGTATGTGTTATTAAATTGAATAATTATAAAGCTTTTAACTATAATTAAAAAAGTAAAATTTCCTTAGTATTATATTTAATAAAAATTGAAAAAAACGGGCATGATGAATTAAAAGAATTTTCTTTTAAAATGATTATGAAAAGCATTGTATTTTTGATCCAAATTTCGATATGTTGTTTTAAAAATATCGTTTGAAAATTACCTTTAAAAAATGTTCATAGATTTTTATTAATATTTCATGAAAACAGAAATTTTAGTTACATGATTTTAAAAAGAGAAAATTACTAAAAGTTATTGTTTTAAACTACTCTTGAAATTGAGATGAAAACATAAGTGATTTTTTTTCTCAATAATCAGAGAATGAAAAATAAATTATATATTTAAAAAAAATTATTTAAATCTGAATATGAAAAAATTATTTCATAATCATCTAATTGAAAATTAAACGAATAAAAAACTAAAATTAATGGTAATAAAAAGGAAAAAAAATTGATAATTTAGATGACAAATTCAAAAAACGATCTTTATTTGTCCTATAAATTTGAGGAGAGTATATAATTGTAGTGATAAAATAAACATGAAATGAATGTTTAAATTTTCAAATAAAGGAGAGAAAAATTCTTTCATTACTATCAGGAAAAACTTTGATTAGAATATAGAAAATAAAAATAATTTAAGTTATCAAAATATTGAACAGAGCAACAATCTATAATTCTTTTTCTAAAGAATATTCATCAGCCGAAAATTGAAGAATAAACACTGTTGTTATTTATGATTATAAGGGCAAGCTTATTTTATAGTTATTCAGTTATTAAATATAGGTGGTTAAATGATGAAAAATAAAAAAAGATTGATATGAGATAATATGTGAAATGATATAAATGAAGCTAGAAATAATAAATAATTACTGAGATTAACTGATAAAAAATTTTGTTTAAATTATAATAATCAATCATATTTCTTAAAATTGACATATTTAAATCCATGATTAATTTTAATTCCATGAAATCAAATATTATCCATTTTAGCTTATAATAGCTTTCAGACAATTTTATTTGAATTCTATTTTATGTTCCTTCTGAAACTCAAAAGTTTCCTTTCTTTTACAAGATTATTTTTTGTTCTATGTAATTCTAAAAAAGTTTAATGAAAAAAAACCCCAAATAATTAGTAATTTTTAATCAGATAAATAAATGGGAGGTAATTCAGAAAATTATTCTCCGCATGAAATTAATATACTGGATATTTTGAAGTAATTATTAATAGAGTTAGTTCTATATTGGTATAAATATTTTCCATCATATGGAAAGAATACAAAGAAATTATTATCAAGAAATGAAATAAAACGGCCCCAAATATCTACTTTAATTTTCTATTTAACCATCCATATCGATGAAAAAGTTGAATATTCGATAACTAAAATTTAATTCTGAGAACAACAAGAGATTACTTAATTTCCTAAATTATTAATGGATAAACTTAAAATTCTATTATTTATATCGCTTATAGTTTATTAACAGGACCACTAAAGATGTTTGATATTTCTATCTAATTCTGTATCATTTGGTGATAATATAGTCCAAAATTTGATACATGAATCTCCACCACCAGAGATTATTAAATTGTTATCACCATTTATTATCATACAAGTAATGCCTTCTATATGTCCTTTTAATTTTTAAATAAATTTAACTTATGAATTCAACTATTATGGCCATATTATAATTGAAGAATCTTCTGAACCTGAAAAAAACTTTCTTTCTTTTTTATTAAAAAATCTTAAAGTTTTTATGTTTGCTCTATGATTTTTAAGGAGTTAAATCTATTTAAGTGAGATTTTATTGAATTAAAAAACTCTAATTAATGATTCTTCCGAAATCAAAATTATTGAATTTGATTAATCTAAAGCTATACATTATTAACAAAACCAATTTTATCTTGATTTCATTGCAATTTAACAAATAATGGAATATTGGAATTGTTTTTAAGGATAATTCTGCTTATCTACTAGCATAAAGATTGAAATCTCAACAAAATAAAATAAATATTTAATTTTTAGAATATAAATATATTCTATAGCTTTTTATTAACTTTTTATGAATAAAATAGATTAAATGAATCTAAGTAGATTAATTAAAAAATATAGAGAATTTTTGATATTTAATATAAAGTAGGAAGCAATTCGATAATGTATCTAATTTGTAGTTTTTACTAATTAGAATTTTAAGAAATCAAATATTCTCCATCATCACTTAATTAACCATAAATTTTGACAAATTAATATTTAATTCTTATATATAAATTTCCACTTTCTATTTTCCTTAAGAATTGATATCATTATTAATTTAGCTTTGTACTTATTGCTACATACTTTTAAATAAATTGTAACATTTGGCTATAAAAATCTAGCAAATCTCAATGTCCAGATTGATTATGAAATATTAGACAATAAACAAATTAATAAATAAAAAGATCCCTACCCTAACCACATAATCCCTTTTAGAGAAACCCTTACTTCTAGTAAGCTGAAAGTTTTATTAGAGAGAGACAAATCTCAAAAAAATTAAATTTGAAAATTTAATTACTAAATTTATGAGGTAGAAATAAAACATATCAATACTAATTATTTTACTAGTTTCTTCTGAATTGATTTCAAAAGTTCACAAAAAATATTTATTTTCAACAACAATTGCCAAATAGTAATAATGAAAATTTTTTTTTAAATATCAATTATATGAGTGAATCCTCGATAAATGTTAATAACATAAAAATAAAATTGTAATTTTAAATAAATCAAAGGAATATTAGTAATAAGGAATGTGTTTATCCTGTATAGCTGAGTCAAAAGCTTCATATTTTTTAATTACCACTGTTGTGACAAATATTAATAAAATAAAAGAATCGATGAAAGAAGAGGTAAATTATATAATTAAAAACAATATTAAAACATTTAATCAAATTTAATAAAAATTGATATAATTCCAACAAGATTAAGAAAAAGAGATAGAACAAATTTAATCAAAAATTTCTCAAATTAATGAAGGTATTTCCGTTTAATCAGTAAAGAAATGAAATTTAGGCATATAATTGAAGCTGTCAATTATAATAATAAGCCATGTTTAAATAATTATTTGAATGAATAATTGTCGTCTGAAATATTTGTTTTAATTGAATAATTAAGAAAAATTAATCAAAATGAGGAGCTTCTTAATTTATTAACTGCTTTTATAAAAGCTAAAAAATAATTGACAATTGTATAATAATAATAATAATTTGAAGAAACATCTAATGATTTATCAGTAAATTTTTATTTTAATAGAAGCGTACTCCTTTTATGCAATTAGTTTGCGAAACTCATTAAAAAGAAATAATTATGATTGACTTAAACTCTGAAAAATAGGTTTAATAAAGAATTGTTCATCTACTTTGTTTAGATGATCATAATATTAGATTTAATTCCATTAAATATGCTAGGAAAGAATTGGAAAATTTAGTATCTAAGAGACAATAGAGAATTAATTAAAATATTGAAAATCTAAAAAATAAGGGGAAAAAATTTTTTTAAACTTTTGAATAGATAAAATCAAATTAAATAGAATAAATTAATCAAATGAATAAAAAACTTAATGTATGCCTTTAAGAAATTATTTCAAAAGCTTAGCTTCAGTATTCAAAAATGAATAAAAACTGGGATAATTTATCAGCATCTTAACTAAATGATATTGCTGATATACTAAGCCATTTAAAATCAAATGAAAACTATTTAATAGTTATTTATTTATATAATTAACAAGATCTTTAATAAAATAATGAAAATATAAATAAAATAATATATTAACTTTTATCAAAGCGACTTTAATCTGAAAACCTTGTAAAAAACTAAAATAAATGTTTTAAAAATAAATTGATTCGAATCAATCTCAAGCAGAAAAACTTATTTGTGTAAAATTAGAAAATAATAACTATGATTTAATGTTTAAAAAGCATGATTTCACAACTTAAACAATAATTAATTAATCAATTAGCAACAATGATTCATAATTAGATGAAAAACAACTTTCAATTAAACCCTAAGAATTATCAATTATGGTTATATAATCCTAAAAGAAATTTGAATTAAAACAATAAGAATTTAACGAATGTATAAGTTAAAAACAAAATCATTAAAAGAATTCTGGGTAATAGATTTTATAAATTAAATTAATTTTATCATATTGTAGTTTTTTGTTTAAGAAAAATCTACTTTAATTGAATAATTTTCAGATTTTTTAGCTAACATATGAACTTTTACCATAAAGTCAAAGTAGAAATTTATTAGATCAATAAATTAACTAATCCAGGTTAAAATAAACAATTTCAGATCCTCCTTAATTCTGACTAAATTTTAAAGCCGAGTACACCTTTTAAAAAATAGAGAGTAACTCTTTCCAAACATCCATTAAGTACAACTCAATCTATTGGGTTATTAACTAATTTTTTGAAGACAATATTTTACTAAGATCAAACATCTAATTGTAATCAAGATTGATAATATCAATGTTAAAATGGTTTTTAATATATTAATAATTAATATTAACCTATTTGTGGAGGTTTGTATCCTAATTAGTTATGAAATTTGTGAATTAGATTAATAATATGATAATGAAGAATGTCAAAATTTTTTAAAATTAAGTTCATCTAATTGTAATATTTGTGTTTAAGGAATATGCCATAAATGTCAATATGGATATCAATTAGATATAAGTAATTAATTGTTATTAGAAATTTTATGTAAAATGAATCTTATTTTATATTATTATAAAAAAAGTTGGCAAAATTGATCTATTTTACCAACTTTTTTTTTTTAATTATTTAATATTATTTATTTGTCCGAATAAATATTCTTAGGTCTTTATTTATTATTAATTGATATAATTTAAGCAAATAAGTTTAGTTAACATTCAAAATAAAAACTATGATTTAAAAAAAACTAAAAAAATAGAAATGGAATATTTAAAGATACTCAAAATCTTATTATAGTAGGATTTATACTAATCTTTCACTTCTAAAAGTCAGCAGACTCAAAAGTAATTCTCACCAAAACAAGAAAATAGATTTACCTTATAAAAAATAAGACTCTTCCAATTTAAGAAATATTCTTTTAAATATAATTTGTTTTAATTAAAATCTATTGATGTCATTAAAATTAGTATTAGTTACAAATTTAAATTATTTTTTCTTGATCTATAAATCAAATATAAATTTGTTTAAAAATTTTTATTTACCTTAATGTACCGAATATAAAAGTATTTATAGGATTAATTTGAATTATCAAATTATAATTTTAAAATTTAGTAGTATTTATCTTTAATTAGATCACATAATTCTTCCATTCATTATAATTCAACAAACTACCCTATTTCTATAAAAAAAAAATTTTACATTTTAATCAACTTCTTTGGCCTTATGTATTTTATTGGCTTCTAAATACTATTCCATCGCTCTCAGTTGAATTTCTAAAATAGCCAAAATACTTTACTTATCTTCATAGGTGCATTTAGGATTAGTTTGAATAACTTTCACAATATTCAAATGTTTACTTGAAGATTTCTTTCAATAAAATCTGGTGGTAAGATTGAATTAATTAAATTACATTTGTGTGATAAAAGCTATAAATTATAATAGATGCCTCTCAATATTAAGGCCTTCTATTCAAATGAAAATATTTCTAAGCATTGTTTATCAATAGAAATATATCTTAAAAAGCAAATTTTTGTTAAATCTTCTAACTAATATTCATGTACTAAATTTTCTAACCAATAACTTTAAAAACTTATGTCTCCTCATTAATCGAAATGCTTTGCTGTTTTAAAACTATTTTCAACTTAGTTTTCGATCATTTTTAATCTATTTAGATTTACTGCATTAGCTGAAAAGAAAAAAATGCTATTCTAAGTAGATGAATTTAAAAACCTTCATGAGAAGCATTCAGATATTTTTAATAAGCAATAATTTCTTAAAAAAGCATTAGAAAAAGCATGAATAATTGTTAAAACTGCAAATAAATTTTAGAAATATATTTTAAAAAAAAAATATTTTTATCTTAAACACCCTAACATCTTATATATCCATCTTCATAACGTGACTCCTTTCTCATCTATTTTCCAAATATTGAAGACAGACTTCCTCTTTTTTGCAATAATATTTGATCCACCAGAAGATATAGAATGTTAGATATTAATTATTATTCAAGGAAGTTAAATGTTCCAAGAAAAAGCCATAGCATCCAATTTTAATGGAATAGAATAATAAAAGAGTTTTTTGGTAGAAAAAATTTTTCAAGGCTGTTGTCATTAATATTTGATAGCCGAATTGAGATTTTAAATGATCAATATTATTGTGAGAATCCTAGAGCAATTCATTTTTAAGGATTAGACAGCAAATTGAAATTCACGCTTATAACTTGATGTCCTCAATTTGTTATAAACTCTATCATTTATTTATATGTATCTATGGATCAGATGCCCTTATTACTAATTTTAATTTAAATTAAAGACTATCCTTTAATTTATTGAATAATTTATATTTAATAATCAGGTTTTGTTGAGATTATAAATACAACCATTGTTCTTTATCTATTATTATTGAAGACTTTTCCCACTTTTTGTTAAATTACCTTATAGCATGCTTCTAAGAAAATCTTGTATTTTAAATAAATAGCTTAAACTACTAATTAGAGTAATCATCTTTACAGATAAGCTAGCTTTATATTAAGGATATTTTGTTGCAAAGCTAACCCCTTCCAATTTAGCATAATCTATAGCAAGATAAATAAAAGAAATTTTACATACCAATCCAAGACCTGCTAACAAAATTGCTTTGAAAAGTTCTCTATTTATCTTGATAGACAATAAAAAAGATGATATTATAGAATCAATCTAAATTATATTTAAAGTTCTAATTATTTGTAAATCGTAATAAAATATTAAGGATATGGAGAGCCCCAATCAAATGTGTTTGCAAATTCTTCGAGCCACATAAATATACTCTTTAAAACATCTTTTTTGATCTTAATACCTTCTTTGAATAGATTTATCCTTTAGATGACCAGGTGCTCTCCAAAGGATCCCTTTATTATTAATTATGATCTTATTATTATCTATTGCCGTTATGAATGTGTTTAGAATAATAGTTATGTTAAATATCCAATTACTTATTTTACAGTTGTTGATCAAAGTAAACTACAAAAGGGTTAAAATATATCATGGATTAATAAATTATATACTTAATTTTTATATGCGCTATAACATCATTAGTTAAGACTAGAGGAATATCAGTAATCTTTATTAATAAAATTTTCACTTAACCTTAGATTGTAACTAAAAACTATTTCATCAATTAAATAATCTTAAATCTTGACAAGTCAAGAATTTTCTTAGCCAGGAACTATAAAGAAAACTTTATCATTTAGTAGTATATCATTTTACATTCATTCACTAATCTTAAATAAATGAACTTTAGTATTGCGTAAAAAGTTCAGAAAATTAGTGAATTATAAATCTTTTTGTTGATAATTTAAGAAATAAAAATAAATATGGTAACAAAAAATATAGCAAAATCATACCACCTAAAGGAAATTTTTAAAGAACCATCCTATAACCACATTGAAAAAATGTACCAAGATTGAGAATTGGAGTTTCAAAAATCTGAGAAATTTTGTGATTAGAAAGGCTTTTTTTATATTATTTTTTTTTTAATTATAAAAAAATTAAAAAAGATATGTTGTCAATAATGCTTAAATTTGATTGTTAAATATAATATAATTTAGATATTAGAACATTTTTAATCTTTAGTATGAATCAACCATCTTTTTGAGTTAATGCATAACAAGATTACTTTTAAATGTGAATTAAGAGTAAAATAATACTGATTAGGCTTACTAAAGAAAATTATCGATCATATTCGAATGTTTACTTGTCATATCTTCAAAATAAATTGTTTTGTAGATTGAATTAATTTGCTTGCTACAAAAAAAAATTCTCAAAATTACTTTTTAATAATCTTGCATTGATATTTCAAATTTTTTGTGTTACTCTCGAATAAAATTCACTAATTGAATCCTTGCTCATTTTTTATATTTTTTTCTAATACATATGATTATTTTAGTTGGTAGGAATACAATAAGAAAAATGAAACATAAAAATTAACAATAACCATTCAAAAGAAGGCTCATGCACTTCTAAATAGTTATCAATAATTGTCTATGAAAAGTAAATCAAGGAGTAGGCATCAAGTA